GGAATGACGGCATCTAAGGACAGATATCCTTGTACCATCTGTCATTCTAAGTTTTTTACATCAGCTCTCCTGTCTACACATTTGGAAGTCTCCCATAATAAACACTTTGCTTGTAGCCATTGCAAAAAGAAGACATTTACATCGTACATAAACCTTACCAAACACGTTCGTATCTGCCACCCTAAAAGGACGCAGCCTCGCAGCCTTCAGGCTAGCATACAACTGCTGAAAAAATGGAAGGAAAATTCAAAAGCTAATTCAGTCGTTTCACCAGTAGACAGTCAACAATCTTTTGATACCGAACAGTCACCAAAGGAAATTGAAAGTTTGGAACTTGAGGAGAATCACAGTAACGAGCCCCATTCGAGGATCCCAGAAGAGTGTGACGAACTAAAACATGATATATACTCTCAGCCTTTGGATAAAACTACTGGTGTAGAATCTTCGAAAAATGCTTCTATAAATAATAACTTTAATAACAGATATCAGACAAATAGAGACAGCGTGGAAACATCTGATAATACGAGTGTTGAAGATTCGGAACTTAATCAGAATGAATTTAGAGGTGAAGCCAATGAAATACAGGAAGGAACTCTCAGGGAAACAAACCCTATTAGTTTGGACAGACGTACACCTAATTTTGAGAATGATGCCAATTTGCTCATAGAGGATTTTGAACAGCTTGAGCAAACGGAGATGGATGATCTTCAAGGCTCTTCAGACATGGAAGTAGAAACTCAAGATGTTAACAACCCTTTGGGAAATAATTCTTGTTATCTCGGAGATCAATATAATATAGAAACAAATGATCTAGAGAGAAGAAATTGCATAAATGGTCAATCTCTGTGTGATGCAGAAATTGATTTTAGATTAGAGGATGAAATGGCTGCTTATTTAATAAAGAGAGAAAACTGTCTAGATGTTGAAATGGCAAAACTTCCAGATTCCACGCCAAAACACGAAGAACGGTTAAGCGAATTGGAATTTCCAAGCCACTCTTCCGAAGCATCACTGATGGAGCAGCAAGAGCAAGGCACGACAGTAACTAGTAGACGCAGTTCTGTCGAATCTAAATTTTGTGCTGAAACCATAGGTAACTATATCATTCAAGACTCACCGGCTTGTGCGGACGTTTTGCAGGAATTGCCAACAGGTGTTATGGGAAACATAGACAAATTTAATGGGAACGAACCTACCGAGATTGGCCTGGGAAATGACATGATGGCGGAAATAGTGAGTAATGAAATTTTAAGTGTGGAGGATAGTGATTTCTCTGAAAGCAATTTGAATTCAGCCGCTGACCTGTTGTCAAGCAACGAGCATAAACATGTGTCGATGGATCCTCTTAACATTTGCAAAGAGGACTTTAGGAAAACCAAGGACTGTTTATATTCGTTGGAAGATGCATTAGATAAACTTGAGGCTCAGAGCACTGAGTAAGAAAAGTGATCATTATTTTTTTTTTTGTATATTAGTCATATAATCATGAAGTTAATACTCTTTGTAATGTGAACTTATTGACAGTTTCATACTGAAACAAACTATCTAATTTTAGTTTTACAGTAACAAAATATTTACATTGATGCTTAAATATAAGAATTAAGAGAGAGAATTTTCTTTTTTTTTTATGAAATTTTTAGTAAGAGCTAATAATGATAATTATATTTTATATTGTTTCACTCAGTGAATTATTCTATAAGTGAAAATTAAAAGTTGTTGAGTCACCTGTTGCGGTTTCATCTGGGAATAAGTAATTGGATGTTGGCACTCCTGTTCATGGTAAGAGAGATGAGGCGACAGGTGTCTTGGCTTCTGGGTGTTATTATTTTGCATAATTTTAAGTTGTGCTTAGTAGGAAGGTGTTTGGTAGTTACGTCTTCAGTCTTGCTGACAACCTGATGTATATAGATAGATTTATTCTTAAAATGGTAGTAGGTTAACCTTGTATGTATGCTCTGACTTTATTGTGCTAAAATCACATTCATCTTACTTTAATTTATACTGACAGAATATGTATATGTAGACATGAGATATGTCATTCAGGCTTCAACATGGGGATCAGTACCCTGCGAGTATAATCTTATGTTCACAAGTAGACCAAACTAAAAAGGATTAACCTCCAACCATGAAAAAAAGTAATTAATTAGAAACATGTAACATCTAGAAGTCAAATTTTGGATGAAACTGGTAGCACCATTAAACATTTTGACAAAACATTATGTATATATGTTATTGTTCTTTGATGATGAGAATGCATAACCAGGGTTTGAACAAAAGAAAAACACTTGACAATTGTAAGTACAAATTTTTTTTTATAATAGTAATATTCACGTAACTTTCATGTATAGGACGCATTTTGTTTTTTTAGTTGAGTGTTTATTAAAAGCAAAGTGAAAACATCTTTTATTCATCAAAACTGCACCACTTAAGTATATATAATTAAAATGCAGTCTTCTTGGACAACCAGCCATGCCAATATAGAATTAATTTTTATTGTTTTGGAGAGACTGTGCCTCCATCATTAGGGCATGATGTAGTGACTGACACTGCTGTTCATTATGTGTATATACAGTCGGGTCTCGTCAAAGGATTGGTCCCTGATCGTGGAGGCATAGACAGTCTTCAAAATTGAAATTCATTCCACAATGGCACAGATGATTGTCTGAGAAGAACCCATTGCATTAAGTCACCATTAAAGCTTCAATCATGTGCATTATTGGCTTCATTCTGCGTGGTTCCACGTAGGAATACGAGTTCTGTGTGGTGAAGGAGGAGGTAAGAATAATTAATTTTATGCATTTTCTCAGTTGTGTCGTTTCTTTCGTATTCCAAATAATGCAAGTTAAAAATGCAGAATAGTTGTATAACTATTTCAGAGCTAACTTATAAAACCTTCAACTCATCAAACAAATGGACGTGGGGCATCAACAAAGTGATGTACTTTGGGTCCTTGATATTCAATGAATTCCCAATCCATCATCCAGTATTTAGCCCCGGTGAAGCTGAAGTTCATTAACACCATTATTTGCATATCTGTTGTTGGTTCTCATTTCCATCTTCATGTAAATCACTTTGTGTTGCTAAGCAACATCAGTTTACAAGGAACAATGATGAAGGTGGAGAATTATGTTTTAATTTCTGACCTGCAAGCTAAGGGAGATGATGTGAATTCCACTTTGAGCAGAATGCTATACAGATTTTTAAAGTTTTAAACATGGTGTTTTATTTACCTGGAATGAATTATCATTGCCATATATATGTTGCATTTCTTAGCCACCACTTAATGATGGATATGAAGGACTCGTACTTTCAAGAGACGCGATAAAAGTAAATTAAAGAATAAAGTAAGAGATTCAGTACCTTGAGTTATTACTCAAATTACGAGCCTGTGTGTTTCATATAGGATAGTAAATTTCATGACTAGCTGAGTAACTTAGCTTTCCGAAGAATCTGTTCCATGAGGTTTGTTCTTAGTTCATAACCTATTTAAGCATTCAAACATTTATGGCAATTAAGTTGTGGAATGATCTCCCCTCCCCCCTGCTTCTGCCCTTTCATTATTGGATACCTGATAACTAATTTGTGGAAAATACTACTGGTGGCTGCCATGGAGATGATAGTTAAATTTTGTTTTAACACATTTACTGCTGATTGAGGCCAGGAGTTAAAACAAAGTTCTGAAAGATTTTTGCACCAAATAGTAGTTATACTATTATGTTTTAATTTTCTTCAGAGGAACATTTGTTTATGTCCCACGATGTACATATATTCATAACTGCACTGATAAATGCTGGTTCTTATTCTGTGCTGGACATTGGACACGTGTGTCAATTTATGGGAATTAACGATGTATTACATAAAAATGTGTACTTAATTTCCCTTGATGGCAAACTAAAAGTTAAGTCTGATTAAAATATTCTTGATTGAAGTTCCATTGTGCCTTGTGTTTAGAAAGTACCTTCAAATTTAATTACAATGAAAAATAGTCTTCACTGATGAACCCGTCAAAAACGTGGTTCTAAACAAAAGTCCGGGATTTCACGACACCGGGGACAGCAGTAGACAACAAATTCATCTGCTTTCAGTGTCACTGAAATTCATGAATTCACTATTAGTATTTCCTGATATTGTTTATAGGAAATCTAAAATTGTATCATCCTTGCAGTTTGCTGTGGTAATTTTGATCAGAAGGCCTGAAGTTGAGTTACAGCCACCATCAGTTTTATCTCCCAAGATTTCTAGATAAAAAAGCACCGAGGTAATAATCAAATCTGTGCACATGAACATCACAATCTGTTTGCCACTGTACTGAGCAGAAACGAAACTGCGGTGCCGACCAGTAGACGGGCAGAACTACGAAGACTGATGATATGAATGTGAGTCATCAGTACCTGGAATGAGCCGTGTGGCTCATGTGAAGCAGCAGCAAATGTGTTAATTTTAATTTATTTCTTTGTTTACACAAACTTGTAAACGAATAAGCAACGGTTAGGCATTTAAAAATATGTTGAAACTGCTGCATTTTTCATTGCAGTTGTAAAAATTCAACACATATGAAAATAACACTTTTAAGTTATGTATCGAAACACCACACTGTATATATTTTTAGTACAATTTTTATATGTTCTCATGTGTGTGAATGAGTTAATATTTTATTTACATTGCATTTTACTTTCAATAAAATTAAATTCTGGAACAACATTCTATTTTGATATTTCCTGCCCACTTTAATGTGTCTACTTTATTATAAAGTTTGAATTACATTATTGCGGGTAAAATAACAGACAAAATTATGAAGTATTTATCTGTACTTACCATAAAACTACCTTCTTCGACCATATTCATCTTTGGAGCAGCATGTACACTAATTTCTGTGTACAAAATTTATCACACTTATCTGCTGTCCAGTTAGTTTTGCTTGTCTCTTAATAACTTCATCACCTTGTGTTACATTTTTTTTTGCGTTCCCTTGCCTTAACCAAACAAATGCATCCTCAAGGCCTATAAGTCTTGCCTCCTTCAACCACTTCACAGAATCTATCAAAACATGGTACAATACACAGCGAGAAGTCAAATTTCTTATAGAAGTGCTGGGTCCTTTTTACTTCATTTGTGCAAGACCTCACCCTACAGCGCCTTATATTTCATTTAGCAGGTCAGTGCCTGAAGTGCTTCAGTTAAATATGCTCATCTGAGTGGCTGCAGTGCTTGCACTCATTGGCTATTATGTTCTGGTCATAAGCCATAAGGATGTCTTTTATCAGCTGCTCCATCAATTTTTGAGTCACTGCCTCAGAAGACTTTTGCGTGATGAGAGCAATGACAATCTGAGAGATGGAAAAATAGCATCTTTGTCCACTATCAGGTCCTTCTGCTCAAACTGTAATGATGTCGACATCTAGTCACTTTTGACCACATAACCCATCAGGAGTCTTAAATGACCAGAGGTTTCGTGATGTCACAAGTCTCCTTGTGCTGCTAGGACATGAATGTTAGTCAACAGACAGACGTCTTGTTTGGCCTTTTAACATAGAGCCCGAAGTTTTCTTGTTCAAAGGACAAGTATCACTTTCCATCATCTTCATGTCCTTTGGACCATAATTAAGTGGCACGTTATTTCTGTTGTGAACTGTACCATGACGTCTTTTTTTCTTATACGAGTCATCAAACAGTGCTGGATAGAGGAAACAATTATCCATGTACAATCTATGACCACATCCTTACAGTTTTTGGACAAGTTGAAGCACCGTGCCATTGCCATGTGTGATGTCAGTTCTAGAGGTGACTGGTTAGTTTCGTACCCTGGTACCCACCGAATGAATAGTGGGAGACTTAGAATTGGTCTGGATGTTTTGAAGGAAGGTGTGTGTTGGGGACATGTAGCCTCGTCACTGTACTGACCGAGTTAGTATATAATTTACAAGTAAATAAAAATGTTAATATCAGTATTAACTATATAATGAACTGGTTTAATACATTAATCTTCAAAGCCTGTTAGATCTGGGATACTGGTTAATGTACTCGAGTTTTATTGAGTAGTAGCACGGTCTGTGATATTTAAATGGGAAATTCGTATATTGGGATTGTATAACAATGACGGAGTACAAGTTTGTACTGGATCTGATATGTTTCACCAATTACCTTCATGGATGCTTGTCTGTTTCTGAGTTATCTCAGCCTGCCACGTGGATCACCCGTGCTTTACGCCGTCTGTCAAAATATTTTTGTCCTGTGTATTGATAGGCCTGAATGGAGAAGGCACAATGCACAGTGCCAGAATCACTTCTATACAGGACTGGAGAGTGGAAGCGAATGCCACTGTCCGTTAACCACCTACAAAAAGTGTTTTAATAAGTGGAACATCATTCTTAATCAGGCATATTACAACAAATTTTTCACATTTCAGGGTTGGAACTTAAGGAAGTAGCTAACAATACACAAAAAATTCCAGTTTTTCATTATTCATTTTGAGGTATATCACTACACTTCTAATTATATTTATTCATAACAAATCTGGAATAGTTGAACACAGAACTGTATATGACCCCTAGCAATGGCACATAATAATGACCCTCAAATAATGTTTTAATTGAAACCAACAAAACTATACAAAATTAACATAACCTAATGTTTAATACAGGCAGATGCTGATACTGGGGCAAACACCACACTTCAGGAACATGGATTATCTTATATCTCTAAAAGCAAGAGTATTATTGGTAACTTTTATTCAATGTTAGTATCCTTGAATACCACATTTCACAAGGGTACACAATGAATATGAATATTATAGGTAATAATACTGCCTTGGAGTGTACATTTGTATGTTGAACACATGATCAAGATGGAAGCTGAAGGAAACAAAGGGAAATTTGACTGCAGATACTGATGTATTACCAATGAGGCATATAGTTTTATGACACATGAATCAAAGAATGGAGTAAAGATTCCTTTTGAGAAGATAAGCAAAGCAGTAGCTCTGAGAACTGTAATACATTTGTCCTCCATAAAGCAAATTTAAAACAGGCTAGATCAAGAGACTTCAACTTTCATTTCAACTAACAGGCAACGCACGCATACTTACGAACAGCCAAGCCGACAGTTTCAACAGCTGTGTGATGATGAGATTGCTCTAAAATGGGTTCTCAGCCTTTTCCAGACCTGAGGTCATTCACCCATTGGCCTGTGAGCTGCAAGGTTATATAAAGCACTGCTCACACTGAAATTATAAATGATTACTTTTAGTAGAAAGGCTATTAATAAAAACAAAAATGTGAAATGTAGAGCCTTGCGGTATTCCCGACAATATTCTATTCTATAAAAATTAAGTAAATTACAACTGACGATAAAATGGTATTTCTATAATTGCCTGAATTCTTTGAACCAACCTCAGCATAATGTGGATCTGGTTGAAACTAACTTCTAATATCTTCCAAAAGTACCATCTCCAAAAATCAAAAGTCCTTGAATGTTGAAGAATGAATACAAACACTTATTTATTCAGTATTTTAGATGTCTAGATTGTTTAAATTATTAACCATTACACATATTGATTTAACAATATAAGGTACAGTAGTAAGAAAATGTAAATTGTTTAATTGGAGGTTTTCATGGCAGTGAAGATGTCGATGTACTTACACTTGCATGTACCACGCAACATTACAGCCTAGAAGATGAACATCAGCAATGTAAGTTGTGTCAGAATTTGGTATTCGGATACTGGGCAGCAGAGTGATAAGTACCCCATATTTCTAATTAATTATAAAAATACAAGTTCCCAAGTTTCTACTCTCGGTCAAACTTCCTATTCTTCCAGGTAATAATAATGCTTCCTGTTACAAATACTTATAAAATAATACAATGAGCCATGTGACTGTTGTTCGACTCAAATATATATATATATATATATATATATGTATATATTTGAGTCGGACAACAGTCACATGGCTCATTGTATTATTTTATAAGTATTTGTAACAGGAAGCATTATTATTACCTGGAAGAATAGGAAGTTTGACCGAGAGTAGAAACTTGGGAACTTGTATTTTTATAATTAATTAGAAATATGGGGTACTTATCACTCTGCTGCCCAGTATCCGAATACCAAATTCTGACACAACTTACATTGCTGATGTTCATCTTCTAGGCTGTAATGTTGCGTGGTACATGCAAGTGTAAGTACATCGACATCTTCACTGCCATGAAAACCTCCAATTAAACAATTTACATTTTCTTACTACTGTACCTTATATTGTTAAATCAATATGTGTAATGGTTAATAATTTAAACAATCTAGACATCTAAAATACTGAATAAATAAGTGTTTGTATTCATTCTTCAACATTCAAGGACTTTTGATTTTTGGAGATGGTACTTTTGGAAGATATTAGAAGTTGTGAAATAAAAACTCAGTAAAATATGTGTCTGTCTTTCAAGATTCTATACTCATGTTACAGTAGTGAAACATTAATTAAATTACAGTGCATTCCAATATCAAGCCATTAAGCACATCCCTAACATATAAATTCATAGAAATATCTTACTATATAATATTGTAAATCCCTGTAAAAATCTTTTAGCAACACTTTGTCTTGTCATCATTGTTTATACCTGTCAACAGTAATTATGTGTACTGAACTCACAAGCCAGTTTCAAATTTCAACATATATAGTGTTTGGTTTCTGGTCATGGTTCCATATTTTCTCTTCTACATTCACTGTGAATGTTCCAATTACAATATTTAGAAAAACTTTTAAAATATTGGCATGTTTAATGCAGTAAGAATTAAAACTGGTTTTTGTTATTAATGCATGAGAGACATCAGCTCACAATTTAAAAGAAAAAGATAAAACTCCTCCACCACCACCACCAGTGTCCATTCTATCATAATGGTCAAAGTCTTTTTATATTTGGCAGTAGAACTTTCTTCGATCCGGGATAGCTCAGTCAGTATAGTGACTAGCTACAGGCTGGACAACTGGGGTTTGATTCCTGACAGGGGCAGAGGATTTTTCCTCTAGCCTCTGCGTCCAGACCGGCTCTGGGGCCCACCCAGCCTCCTATCCGATGGGTACCGGGTCCTTTCCCGGGGGTAAAGCGCTGCCAGGGCGCGATGCTGACCACTCAGCCCCATCTAGTGCCGAGGTCAAGAGAGTAGGAGCTATACCTCCACTCCCCCCAAACGACCTATATGACGTGTAGTGGGACAGCTTTATTTCTTTTAGTAGAACTTTCTTGGGCACATCTGAGAATCAGGTATTACGGTAAACACAGTGGTCAGAGAACCAAAATTTTGATTTATAGCATGTATGTTTATTGACTGAAATTATAGCAATCAGTACATAGAAATTTAAATAATGTAATATGTTTCACTTCAAGCATTTCTACCATATTTATACACATGGCAGAAAAACAGAAACATGTGACAAAGTTTCAAAGAAAGGAAAGAATGGAGGATTGTACAGTGTGGAGCGCAGCTGTGATTAAAGCAAACACAATGATGTACCACATCATAGCTGCACCTAATTTTCTTAGAGCATGAAGTAAGTTATGACAAATGTAACTAGAATTCAACCACATACAGTATGGACAATGGTAGCTATGGCAACGAAGGAGCAGACGCGCGGGTATTCATGGCAACTGAGCCCAAGATCAGAAGGGGGCGTGAACAAGGCAGAAGTGATACAGAGGAGAAAACATGGAAAGATTTCAGAACATTCACCATACATTCTTTCACAAATTAAACTGTATTAGGCATGTCAACAGCATATATAATTTTGGCTGGCCGAGAGATGACAGTAATAACCTCACCAGGTAATGATATCTGTGCCTAACAGGACACAAACGAACCTTTTTATGTGGAACTAAGATTTCATTCTTGGCTTACAATAACATGGTGTAAAAGTACAGCCAACTTTTACATCAAACACTTCTGTGTAATTAAATCTCAGACCATAATGTGACTATTTTCAGACAACCCTACATATCAAGAAAAATTTATAAGTGAATACTGAAAAAAAACTGTGAGAAAAACCAGGTATTTCAATTCGGAACTTCAAGGCAGACAAATAGGAAACAATGTAATCTTGCCATTTTATTGTTCTTGAGTACAATAAAAATCACTAGAATGTAAATGCAAGGCATTCTCTATCCAAAATAACAGAGTTGACCAAGGATTCTACATGGACTGCCAGGGTGACCATCAGTATTCCCATTCTGATATGCTATTATGATCATGGCAAATAGCTGATATAATCTACTCACTGCTGAGCTAGATTACGAAGTTTCACCATGTCTTGAGAACACTATTTTTCTGTGACACTGCCAAATGCCAGCAAAAAGATGCACTTTTTGAATAGAAAAATACCTCATAAATGGGGGCAGAGATTCAAATACCTTCACATTTTTGACAGAAGATGGCAGAGTATGTACAGGTCATATAGATGTAAAAATGGTGGGTGGTGAAGGGGGGGAGGGGCAGGTAAATTGTGAAATTATATTTATTGGGTTAAATAACATTTAGGTTAGTTCCATTTACAGCAATTCAGATAGCTTCAAAACATTATGCATATAAACTAATAGTTATATTAATAACAAAGTTGTAATAACCATAAATCTTAATTTATAACAATGTCTAATCACAAAAAAGAAAATTTGTAGAAATTAAATCATTAAGTACACATGACTACTAAAGCTAGTGCTGAAAGTAAGAGCGGAACATAAAATTAAAAGACACCGACAAACTAACTGCATATTTTGAAGAATTTTATCCCTGCTTATTTGAAAAAGTACATTGCAAAATATTCCACATGTCAGTTTTGATATGTACTGTGGCAGAATATGAAATGAGCATCAGAAAAGCGTCCCATGCTATAATGTAACAAGCTATTCTCCTGCACCACATAAAAGTAATCATCCTTCCTTCTGCATTTTGCTAGACACGGCATTAAGAATAAAGTTTCCCACGTGCCTTTTTACAGCAGCAGCAACAAAATGCAAAGAAAACATCGGCCTCCATCTCACATGTTCACGTAGGCATTCTTTTAATTTTATCTCTCAAACTTCTAACCTAAAATTTTTTATTTCTATGACCATAAAACTATAATGTAAGCGTTATGTCCCTTAGCCTTCACATTTCCATTGAAAAAGTGTCAATTCTAAAATCAAGTATTCTAATTAAGAATAAAATATTTATCCCTGACAATCTTCATGTTTCTGATTGCAAATTAAAACAGAACGTAAGCCTATTTTTAAAGATGCAGAGAGTGTGAAAATAGTCATGACTAAAATTCTGAAAAGTCAACTTGCATCAGTCTGGTTCTTCAGTTGCAAACAGTTTTCAGCATGCCTCAGGCCCCTGAGATGTTCTGGTCTGGTGCTGTGCTCTATCTTCATTAAATGAAGTATTAAAATGGTGCTGCAAGGAACTTGTTCTTTCACAGAAATAAAACATTTAAATTCATTCATACTTCATATTCATCAGCCTCAACAAAGATAATATTTTATATTATATGTATATATATTTATATACTATGCTAACTTTTTTTCAAGAGGGGTTGCGTCCAAGTGGAGCATCTCACAATTCTGTCATCTTATAAACACCTAATACAACGATTACTGGCATTTAATAAGCAGGACTCTGGGCCCTTTTTCATCATGAATTTAGGTAAAATCAATGACGGAAAGCAAATTGGACCTTTACAGAACTAAAAGCAGCAGGCAACAGAAATTTCTGTCTTGCAAGGAAATGTAATTCTGTTATCGACAAGTTACCTGGCATACGAAGTTGCTGCAACAATATTTTCAAAAGCCTTCTAAAACAGTATACTCACTGATAATGCAACGTGCCCTGTACGGAAATGGCCTATTCTGTGCCGGCAGTTTAAGAACTTGGTTGCATTTTCAAAGAGTAAAGGTGTACACATCAAAGACAATTAATTACAAGTTGTAAGCTCTCATATCCTCCCGTGACTTAAGTCAATACTGCTTCCGTACGCCTTGCATTTCCCTATCCACCGAGATTCCCACAGAAGTCAGCCTAGAGGCCTCGCGTATGAGTATGTGTGCGTGCACATGAGGAAGTGCATTTCCATGATGTGGACCAGCCCAGTGCTTCAAACTACAGAATCCTGGCAAATATATATGGAATGGCAACTCTAGTATCTTTGACAGGCCTTCCACAGTATCAAAGACATGGAATTTTAGCACGTGGCACACATGCCAAGAGAGTGTTAGGTGCCACAGTTCCTATACCTTTTCATCACTTGAATCCTTACCCTTCCCCCAGAATTTATCAAACCTTGTCCGAGCCTTCTCCAGCACATCTGATGCGAGTGAGCGCCCAGAGGAGGGAGAAACCAAGGGAAGAGGTTTCGTTGGGGACTCCTGCGGTAGGGTGGGAATGGAGGACTCAAGAATTCTGTATTGACCTTGTGCTCCTCCTCCGCCATTACTGCCTTCACCCATCTCGGATTGTGTCTCCAGCGTCTCGGAACCAGGCCTAGACACTCCTTTGCCAACTGACGAATCTTCCAGATCTTGGAGAGCAGTTACAGCTACTGATGTATCAAACTGCGCAGGTGAAGTGGAAGGCTTCTCTTCAAGTCCATTTACGGCTTCAAGGCCACCAACGATGGAAGCGATCATAGGGTCAGGAGATTTCCATCCTAGAGAGGGAATGCAAAGTGAAGGCTATCCAACTGTGTATGGGTAACACTCCCTTATAGTCATCCGCGTAAGCAAAAGCAGAGCTAAACAATTCAATCTCTAAATTTTCATATCCATTTAATACGCAACCAACTTTACCATCAGGGTAATTTAATACATTCTTTTGTATGCATCATTCTGGAGATAGAAAGCGTGATAAGATGCTAATAAATGAACATGGCAGCAAATGACAATGACACAGCCGAGTTACATTATTAAACAGTTTTACTTCACAACAGCACTTAATACTAATTGGCAGTTTATAACAGAAATAAATGTTAATTTATTAGTTTGTTTAATGATGTTTTATCAGCTGCGTAGGTTATGTATAATATTGACTGGCATGATAGTAAGGTAGTTTCACAGACACAGGATTCTTTTGGAGACACTGAAATGGGGGACAAAAAGGATGCTGAAAAAGACTCAACAAGATTAACCAATCCTGAATTGAAGCATTAACACCTACACTACAATAGGTGGTTTATAGCAATAAACTATGCTAATGGCAAGCATTTTTAACTGAAAGTAATTAATATGGATTTATAATGTATCTTAAAATTTTATTTTCAGATTGTTTAAAATTTTTGTTCCAGAAATATAATCTACTTTGGTCACTACAATATATATATACTGAAAGATAAATGCATTTAAAAAGTTAACAGTGGAAGATGATGGCAAACGTAAATATGCTAAGTTAATTGCTGCACCTGAGGTCTGTTCTAGCAATTCGGGTGGGGCTGACTGCGGCGCTGGTGGGGGAACAGCGGGAGGAGTCCAAGCTTTCACTTCGCTGTACGGCCGATTTGTCAGTTCACCTGGAACATGACAAAACACAATTCAAACAAATTTGACATGAAAAATATGAACTGTTAAATCAGACACAAAAACATAACTGGGCAGAAAAACAAGGAACCAATGTGCAGCACAAGAAGTTGATGCAGCATACTTCTTATTAAATTTCCTTTAAAGTGTATCCATAAATAAATAAATATATTCTTCTAAACTATAGAAAAACATAAAGTAATTCACTACATGGAAGTTATAAGCTCGGGTTGAACCAAGGATATGACTCTACTGAGTTTACTCAGGATAAGGAATTGGCAAAGAATTTATAACCTAACCTCTGGATAGTGTAGAAAACTCTTAACAAAAGTTACCATATATTCTGATTTAAACCTACTTAAGTCTTGGTGATATATGTGCAGTAATATAGTATATATGCATAATTTATTCCATTCACTGGTAGCATATTGAATACTTTTTGTTGGTCATTAAAACATAAAACCCTGATGGTTAAAAACAGTCTGGCTCCTAAATTTTTGGGCTGGCTTCCTTTTAAAAGAGAAATTTTCCATGCTCTGCACTAGTGTATATGAAAGGAGATAACAAGGGTACATGCATGCTGTCATTCAAAGCATAACATATCTACAGCTAGAGAGGGGTAGTAACTCCAGTTCCATACCTCGGTACAACTTCATACTTGGCAAGGCTACAAGAAATAACAACACCCGAAGCTTCAAAATACAAATTGAAAATATTCAGTGTATAATATCATTAATGTGTCATGCAAACACATGTTAACTCCAGTTACAACACATAAATGTGATATTACTGCATCAAAGTCATAAATAAAATACAAGATAATACTGTTTAATACAGGTGCCCTAATTATCCTTGCTTGTGGGAAAATTGTGCTCACTTACAAAGTAAACAAACTATTCGTGATAAGAAATGGCAGGAGGTTTCATGTAAGAAGAGTAGAGAAAAATGACACTTTCTTTTAGTAAACAATTACTTCTGCAGAGAAAAGCTACAAACATGGCATAAAAAGAAACACAATGATATTACAAATTATAATATGTATAACATAAAATTACAGGTGATCAATAAAGTGGAACCTATAGAAGGAAGCAGTTGTAGCATAATTTAAGGAACTATCCCGGCAGATGCCTGGAGAACCACAGAAAGACCTCAATTCAGACATCCAGTCTCTGGACCAACACTGACATCTGAGCCCAGGATCAAGGAGTCCCAACCACACAGTTGTGATATTCAGTAGTGCACCTATTAAAGTGGGTCACAAATGTGTACTACCATGAAAATATATAATTTTACAAATTAATTTAAAAATTAACATATTTTCAGTTATTCACACTTTCAACTTTTCAATTTATTACCCTCTACATGAAGGTTATAATGAGGTCACTTTCAAAGATCATAAACCGCTGGACTTAAATGCGTTCATCCCCATCCGAAGATGTTTAAGAATAACACTCTTCATCATGACATGGCGAAGAGGACACTCAGTGATGTACTTAGAATGTCCCTACAAAGCGTATCATCATGCAGTACGCTCATTTAAAATTTGTTCAAGTGAATGCTTACCTTCAAGGACATTCTGAGTGACAGTGAAAGTCTTTCCTGTGTCAAGTGGGACGGTCCAGTTGACAGGTTCTGGAGAGCGCATGAGTATCTGTTCAGGTGACTTCACACGAGTTGGTTCTGGTGGAGATTTGACTAATGCTGGTTCAACGTCTGGCCCCTCTTTGTTAAGCTGCCGGTCTGAATCAAGCTCATCTTGACAGGGGGCTGTGCCACCTGTAGCAAGCGTCACGTCAACATTCTCAAAATATCGATACTATTTATTGAATTCCAGTGATGATGTAAGCTATTAAGACCCATGTCATACAGGTACATACAAATGAGCTTATTTCAAAACTTGTTATTTCTTATGGCGAATATACTGACGTATTAGAATATGAAGACAAGATATGGACATTTTATAATCCTTAGAATGTTTTCTTGCTTGTTAATTTCTCTAGTTCCTGCTTTACTCCAAGGCTCACTGTGACAGAAAAACAGCGTGACACTGGTTACTTACACAATTTTTTTTAAATTTGATTTAAGTTCTCAATAAATTTTCAAGAGTATGCAGAAAAAGCTACAAGTTAAGTACGAATTTAAGCATACTACAAAAATAATTTAAATATTAACATAAGCAACATTTCAATGGAGAATTAAAAGAAATTACTCAGGTTCTAAGTTTTAATCTCATAATATTTTTTATTCTACAAACCTATAAAAAATTAAAAAAGAGAAAGAATTGATCTCATGATTCGTGGTGGATAAATAAGTCCTTCAATTCTAAAGGGTTTTGACGACGGTAGTTTACACTTAAAAATTATTCATTGTCAGGACTTTTCCATCGTCTGTTCTTTAAATCCACGACGTTTCAGAGGCTGGTTCTGTCTCCATCTTCAGGTGAGAGGTACCTACTCTGTTGGGTCCCTTTGACAGAGCTAGTCTCTGTCACTGGACAATAATTGCACGATTTATATTGTCCTGACAATGGATAATTTTAAATAAGTCCTTCATTCCACCATCTTTAGCATTTAGTCAATATTAACATCACAATCATTTGTAAGTAATATTGTAATTCATGTAGCATATATATATTATGTGCATGACTCAAGGTAGTAAGACAGAATAATTAAGTGCAACATGAAATCAACAATATACATTAATGCAGAAGTTCAAAAATTGCTTGTACTAAAAACAAGGATAATGTCACCACAAGCCTTGCAGCAAAATGGATTGTTTATCAAACTAAAGAAAGAAACAGTAAGAACACAAACATGTCTACATTATTGAAAGTTTTCTTTGTACAGATACAATAAACTTTACAAAGCTACAGTCAAGTTACTGAAGAAGTTGCCTTCATCATACTCGTAATATAACATCATGCAGGGTACGCAAGACCAACAGCAACCACAAAGAACAGCATTACACCTGACATGTGAAAGCACAGAAATCAGCCACTTTAAGCACAGGCTTATCCATTTTCACACAAAATTAATGTTAGTTACAAGATACCAAACCAACGATGTATTAAATTAAGTTACAAAGAAAAAAAAAGTATGCAGATATCCCATACAAATTTCATTAATGTTTATCCTCAGTTGTAAGTATTAAACATTATATACCAGTAATACCCACGCAACAGGCACAGACACGGAACGACGACCAACAACGGAAACCTCAACTTAGGTCAGCGGACATAAAGCTAAGGAACTCAGTTTACGTAATACGCCAACTCTTGTGCAATTAACGTCCAGTGTGGTATTACATAAAATATGGTTTTATAAAGTGCGACATAACAAACCATCATCCTATGAATTAATTTTTTGCCACTGATGATGACCTCTTGAGGTCGAAACGCGTTTGGCACTAAGTGTCTTTTCAAAGTGTAAACATTTTTGTTTGTATGCATTATTTTATATTACAAACCAGGCGTTTGTTAAAGTGAAATATTTTATTTTTAATAAAACATATGGTGATGGTTTAATGGCCCATGGTTATGAAATTCATATTCTAAATGGACAAGATGTATTTGCGTTCCAGCGGTCGGAAAATTGTCAGAGCAGAGACCAATAACCCCGTGACCTACTCACAATTATAATGAACACGATTGCCCACCAATTTTTATTTAACCAAAATTTTTCCAAATTTCTATCTTCTCATACCAAATAATAAAATTACACCTACATACAACATACAAATTAAGGCCATTTAAAGCACAAATATGAAAATATTTACAAAATCAATTTTATACTTGAACGTATTCCAGAGGAAACAATGTGGCAATACCATTGTTTTAATATTACACAAAACAGGATGTTTATACACATGAAACGAGTCCAATATATAGAATTAAATGCTAACAGTACAAATTCCTTTTATCTAAAGTACCTACAATAAAACATCCAATGTTTCAACTGGAATTATTAATAATTTAAACAAAATACAGTCAAACCCTGATACAGCATTAACATGGCTTATTGACCTAGAGGACTATACAGCATTTATTTACAGTCAAAGTGTACGAGGAGCATCATTTTGAAAATATATAATATATATGGTTATAGATACACCACCATCTTTTTATTGCTGTATAACATGGCAGTGAACTCATCCATAATGAAAGTGTTTTATGCAAACTTTGAGTAACATACTGTAAGCAAACACTTTAGTTTGAATAGTCACCAGGTTAGCCACAGTCATGAATTTAAGTACTATACAGAAACAGTGTGTACTACATAGTCACAATCAGTGGCACATGTCTGAAATATGAAAAAGGGTCGTGTTAAGTGCTGGTGAACACAAAGATCAGCGTGCGTACAAAGAACAGTTTGTACTTGTGGGTTATCGGGACACATCGCTTTAAAAATATGTTAGGTTATGTTAGGTTAGTTGTCATTTATTTAAATAAAATATAATAACTTTCAAGTATATGTCATTTATACACACAAACTAACCTAACCTAACCTATTTTTAAAGCGACGTGTCCCGATAACCCACAAGTACCAAACAATTTAATGGTGCAAGTCAGCAAAATACAATATTGCCAACCACTACTCCATTTTATGGGGTAAATCCATCAGTTGGTGCTGTGCTGGAGATATTGCGAGAAAAAAAAAATATGGTGGACAGAGAGTGGTACTCTAGCAGAGTTTGACTGTACAGCAGTGTTATACTTATCATTATCAATATTACTTCAGCTACAGACTAGCTACTTTACACAGTACCAATAGTTCATTATGAAGGATTATACTGGATATGATATACTGATACACTATTTGATACTCTTATAAAACAGATATGCTGTATTACAAACCTGATTCCCATAAGAAACGAACAACATTTTTTTAAAGTATCTTAAAGAATGCCGCACACACTCGTTTCTTTGAACACAAACTTTCTGTTTCCACAGCTTCATGTGTGATGCAGATGTGAGCACCCGCAAACTGACTTGGGGGGGGGTTCGCAGCTAACACAAGAGAGAATACTCTGATGTTGATTAATCATAAATTATATAATTCCCTACAGTAAGTGCTATTTCAGATAACAATTCAAAATAGGTTATAAACACTCTTTGCTAATCAATATTTCATAAGCCACGTAGAACATGTTTTTAACGTAAAACTGTAGATTTATTACATATTCAAAAACCTTCAAGCGTGAATAATCTAAATTACATTCCCATTGACTTTTCATAGAAAAATGATGCCATACCATGCATCACAACCACATTCATTGCTGCAATTTGAAACCAAAAAGCAAATAAAGCTGGCACACAGGCCATTTTACAGATTCACGTTTGTAACTTTGAGCTTAATCCCTTGACGAAAACACAGGAAGGAGCTAAACTGAATAGGCAGAATAACACAAGTTCAACTAGACAGCCTCTAACTGTATCACCACCCAATTCCTGTCGTGCACCGCAATATTCTTAAAAGAATAGAATGGATCGATTTTATTACGAAGTAAGAAGACCGAAGTTTGTTAGGTGTGGGTCATAGATTATTTTGTATTTGTCAATAAATACCCTTCATCTTCAGAATTCTTTAGAAAAAAAAATCAGTCACTATGCTAATAATGCACGATTACTTTAAAATGTAAAATAAACTTCCGTCTTCGGCATTATGAATTTGCAGAGATGTAGCAATATTTGAGTGAGAGTAGTTGTATTTTAGCAAAAGGAAATAACATAGGAACGTTTTTATTACTAATATTGTTCTGTTCAACTTTAGGATGGAGTGCAACTG